AGTATCAGTGCAGGAGCTTTGATGAACAATGCCTTTTTCGGTAAAAAAAAAAAATCCCTAAGATCTGGTTAAAATATTCTTTACCATTATCACTTCTGAAAATCTGAATCTGTGTTTGAAATTGTGTTAATATCAAGTTATAAAAAATTTTAAACACAGTTTCAGCTTCAGACTTATCATGAAGTAAGAACACCCAAGTAACACATGCGTGATCATCAATAAAAGTAATGAACCATCTCTTTCATGTTAATGTTGCCTAAAATTGTGAATTTAGAATCTCGCAAGTGCACGAGTCAACAAGTAGTAAAATGATGAACAATCAAGTATCGTCCCACAAGGATTGTATGTTTTGAAATCAAATTGCTAAATTAATTCTATTCAAGCTTTTTAAACAAAAACTAAAGTTGATTTTTAAGGTGTTAAAACTAATAATAATCTGACTGTAAGTAAATGAACAACAAAGACAAAACTAATTAATAACAAAATGTGTAAATAAATTGGCCAATGTCACTGTTCACGGCTCACAACTGTTAAACTGTCTCTTATCACGTTGCGCGTTGCTGCAGCAATGGACGGCAATGAAAACCTCTTGTTAACCGGATTCTACTAAACCAGAGACTTTCCAATCCTCTGTCTACCGATCTTAAAGCTAAATCCCACAAATCTCTTTGCAAATCTAGACTCTAAAATCAGAGAATGAAGCTCTAAATCGTATGGTTATGCAAGACACAATATATTCCTATATCATGTAAATCAAAAATCTAAAACAATACCTAAGAACTTGCATTACTCAAGCTGATTCCACTCAACTAAATCTTTCCAGATCTAATCAAGCTGTACTCCCCTCTTATGATTTCTCAATCACAGTTAAGGTACAAATTCAGCTCACTTGAATAAACAGAGTAATAATCATCATATCCATTCAACATCAACTAGCAACTTAATATTTAACAAATCAACAATCTCAGCCAACAAATCATAATCTCATAGAAGTATATATGAATTCGAGTTCAGATTCATAAAGTAAAGTAAATATTCTTCAACAAGGTGAACAAAGTATTGAGAATAAGAAAGACTAAAGTGATGAGGAGAGAATTCGAATCTCCCTTTTCCAAGGTTTCTTCTAGCTGCTTCCTACATCAACAAATGGTCCTTCCTTCACGTTTAAAACTCTGTGACGTTTTCTTCTTCTCCTTCCTCAGTACTGGAAATGGTACTTGATCAAAAAAATGGAGGTGGTTTCCTTTTCCAAGTTCAGCCGCCTCTGCGTTCCAAAATATGACCAAGGACACCTTATTCTCTTGCAGCTACAGGTACTTATTGTACCCTAATTCCACGTGGTAGCACCTGAGAAAGCCTCCAATAAGTAGCTAAATCAGCACCCTTCACGGACATAATCAGCCCATTCTACCAGCTCAGGCCCAGCTGTCAACAACACGTGAATCTCGTCCAGCTGGCTTGGCAGAGCAATGCTGACTAGAATTCCTTTAAATTCCAAAAACGACAAGCTGCTACTAGCCTCCAAACGACCATGTTTCCTCAAAGCTGAGACTAACCACACAAACACCCGAATTAGCTCTTTTTAAACGCTAAACACAAGAGAGAAAATTCATGAAACACAACTAACTAAAAACTAGTAACAAGACAAAATATAGGATAAAATTAATACTAATTACTCTCTAGGTAATAATTTAAGCCCGGGAAATGCTCAATTAACTCTATTTTCATAGAGTTATCAGGCCCCCAACATCACTATGAATCATAGTAAAGGGTTTAGTGGCTTTATATGGTTGAGTAGAAAAAGACGTTCGACGATGTTTCGCAAATTCACAAATCTCACACTGAAATAAAGATGGATTTTTATTGATAAAAAGTTTTGGAAACAAATGTCTTAAATAATGAAAATTAGGATGTCCTAAACGATAATGCCATAACATTATTTCACTCGAATCAAGAACAGAAATAGAATTGAGACAAGTCCTCCGGGATTGCCTACTTGAGTCATATCCAATGTCAAAAAAATAAAGTCCACCAACTTCCTTAGCATTGCCAATCGTCCTCCCCGAAGTCAAATCATTACCCTTTTTTGCCACGAAACCAGAAGGATTAGGATTGACAAGGTTATGGGATTGGAGGATTTTACAAATCTGCTCTAGCTGTTCCTTCATGAATGGTTGCACTCCTGAAGAAGACTCATTCTCTGAATCAGTAACATTAGCTTGGGAATTCTAGTTGTCTCCTGTTTGTTTTTTCTTCCAATTAGCAGGGTTACCATGGATCTTCCAACAAGTCTCACGTGTATGCCATGGTTTCTTGCAGTAATCACACCACGGTTTCTTGCTACTTCTTCCTTCACCATCACTACTTCTCGACACAAGAGCCGACCCTTCAGATTCATGTGTAGTCTTCCCAATCATCACTTTCCTTCGAGCCTCTTCTCTACACACTTCAGAAAACACTTCTCTAAGCGAGGGTAGTGGCTTCCTTCCAAGAATGCGACCACGGACCTCATCTAACTCTTGATTTAGACCAGCAAGAAAATTGTGCTCGCGCTCATTCTCTTCTCTTTTCTTGTGCTTAACACTATCAGCTGGGCACTCCTAGTCATCTTCATAACACAAATCCAATTCTTGCCACAAAGTGACGATATCGTTGTAATACGTAGTAACATCACGGCTGCCTTGCTTAGAACTCCATAGCCTTGTTTTCAACTCAAATATTTGAGATGAATTCTCTAGGTCAGAATACATCTCTCTAACCGGTTCCCAAACATCCTTAGCAGTTGGTAAAAACATGTGTGGTTTGGTGATATCTAGTTCCATAGAATTGATCAGCCATGCGATAACTAATGAATTTTCAGAATTCCATGTCGCCAACCCAGGATCTCTATTGGCTGGTCTCTCATGTTCTCCCGTTAAATAGACAAGTTTTCCCCTTCCATCAATGGCTAGCTTCACGGATTGAGCCCACTCTAAAAAATACTGGCCATTAAGTTTTTGCCCTGTCAATTGAAATGATGAGACATAGCTGAAAAAATCATGGCACTGCCACTAAGGATCAGGCCACCGCCGCCTCCAAAAATCGTGCCTCCTTTTGCTGCCGATTTTGCGCCGCCCTCAGACACTGTCGTCCCATCTCCGGTGGTCGTGGAAGGCCTCTTTTGGCCGGTCATGGCCTGGCGGTAGTTCATCTATGCCCAGCTGTTTTCTGAACCACGCTCATGTTAATTTTACCAATCCATCCCAAAAAGCTTAAGCTGTTAGGAAGTGAGCCAACAATAGCTTCATACTTTAACAGTTTTGCTTAGCTGAAACAGTTTCCTTTGCTTATTTGATATTTTGCCAAAACAATGCCATAGGTGGAGATTGTTAGAAATTTCATATTGAATTGATTTTTGGTGTTGGCATTATTTTGAGCATGTTTTGGTGATTAATCTTATTAAAGTTTCAATGGCAACTATTGATATGTTTTAGGAAAGTTCAGTTCATCTGGAAACTGTTTAGAATCAATCAAATTGATTTAATTTGGAGAAAGTCAACTTTTGATGTTTTTAGAAAGTTGAAATATATATATTTTTATAAATTCATTTACTCCAGAATATATGTTTTGGCAAGTTTCTGATTTGAAGAAATATGATTTGGTCAATTTTGTGTCCTTTTTGGTAAGTTCGTAATTGATTGGATAATTTATTTGTGGATAGGATTTTGTTGGGCTAGTTGAATCACCCATGTTTTAGAGGAATACGTCCGTCCAGGTTTGTGGGGTCTTATATGGAAAGATATTAAGAATCAGCATTATTGGCCTTTGAATCAGGTTTTGACAGATCTGCTATAGAAATTATTGCAACACTGTCTGCAACAGGTTGTCGACAACGGACTGCATTAAAAGTTTTGACAGTTGGTCGATTTGGCTATTAAAATAAAATCTTACAATGGTCTCAACACGTTTAGAGAGCCTTAGAATTTCAGAGAGTCAAATTATTTTATAAACACTTTTTTTTATTTCTTTGGGAGAAGAGATTTAGGTTTTCAGGAGAAAAATTGAGTGTCGAAGGCATTTCAACTTTAAGTCGAGAAGAGCTCGTTGAGCAAGTCTATTAGGTAGTTACAATTTCATAGGCGTCATACTTAGAGGAATCTTGGGTTTATTAAGTCCATTTGATTTGTAACAGTGTTTGCCTAGTAGATTGTTCAAACATCTAATGTGACCTTGTTAAGTAAGTAGTTACCAAACTGCGATACCAATATCTTATGCCTATTCTCTATTTTGAGTTTTCTATTTATTTGTTGAATCGATTTTTTAACAACAAACTTGGTAAATAAGACTAAATCGATACTAACAACTATGTTCTGTATTTACAAATTAGCCATCGTATCACTTTCTAGTTACTTTCTGAGCAGTTCATTGGACATCATCAACACTTTTTTGGATCCAGACAGATAGACCAATTTGATGCAGAAAATTAGAAAGTCCCGAGTTTATCTCGCATTCATCAATCAAGCCTACAAAGGCATCTCATCCTCTTTGGCCGAAGGTTGTCATCCAACCATGGTGCGCTTACGACCCCGTTGTCTCACATTTTTTTTTTTTTTTTTTTTTTTTTTTTTTTTTTTTTTTTTTTGTTAGATATAGATAAGGAAGCTAAAGAATGAACATTCTTCGTACTAATGAAATGGATTGCAAAGAAAAATTATAACGAGAGACAAGTCACACCTTGAGCTAACTGCTTGGACATTTTTCGGTAAGCAACAAGTATCCGATCCATCTATATAACCATTCTATTTTATAACAATTCTCATAATGGCATTCCCTAATGCGTTTAGTTGTTATATTTGTGTTATAATTTGAATCATGACTCGTAATTCGTTACAATATTTTTTCTCATAAAAAATACACATAAATCAAAAATAATTTTAAATCATAATTCTGCATTCATATATCAACTACAGTGTGTAGAGAAGGAGAGAGTGAGAGAGAATCTAAAGTAAGGAGAGAAACAAGACAAGAGGCACACAAAAAAAAGTAAAATTTCGTGGACAATGTTGAGCAACATGAAACAAAAGTACAGAGGTTTCTTTGAAAGTTTCTAGAAACAGTGATGATCATCATAAGAGAGGAGAGAGGAGAAAAAGTCAGAAACAATTAACGGCTACATACGTAATCAAGCACAGTAAATGGGAGTCTCAGTCAAACTAAGGTTGAACAGGATATATCTGCGACCAACCTCATAACTTCTCAAGCTCTTTCATGCTCTCTATGTGTTTGCTACATCTTTTTAACTGTACTCTTTTATTTGCAGAACAGCCATCGGATAACTCTACTGAACTTTCCTATCGGTTCATAGATGCCAATCAACATTTTTTTGGGTCCTGATGGAAATACAAATCTGATACAGAGAATTGAAAAAGTGAACTTTATCTTGCCTTCATCAATCAACCTACAAAGGAATCTCATCCTCCTTAGCCGAAGGTTCTCATCCAACCATGGTGCGCTTACGACCCCGTTGTCTCACTGTATACGCTATTTTGTTAGATATAGATAAGGAAGCTAAAGAATGCACGTTTAACACACTAACGAATTGGATAACCAAAAAAAAAAAAAAAAGGTGCAATGAGAGCAAAGTCACACCTTGGGCTAACTTGTTCAATGTTGATGACCACTGCTTGGAGGTTTTTCGGTACGCGGCAAGTATCTGATCCATCTATACCAGAATGTAACGAACCCATTAGGAAAGCAAAGTTCATTTCATTCAGAAAGAGCATGTTCTCATAAGACAAAGTGACTTCACAACACAAATTTAACAGCCGGGCTTACCACGTTCCCACATGAAGAATGCATTGAGATCAAAGCTCGCTCCAGTACATACAAATCTACGGCTTTATCTTCAGGAAGTGTGGATGTAAAGCTCAGACCGAAATCGATAAGCACCTATCAAGAAGAAATTTATAATGATTACGCAAATTTTAAGAAGAATCTAACCTGAATTAGTATCAAGGAACTATCTTAATAACACACCAGCTGATTGATACCACTTCTGATTAACATGTTTGATGTGGTTAAATCGCCGTGAATGAGACCGCCATCATGCAACTTTGCAATGGCATTACCGATCTGTGTCGCAATATCATCCAACTGCTCTTCCCGAACACCATGCAATCCAAACTCGAGGAATATGTCTTTTATCGAAGGACCCTCTACATACTCAAATGTTAAGGTATGCGGCACAGGGTCCACAAAATACAACACTGGCGTACAGACCCCAAGTCGCCGTGCTTTTGTCATGCACCTAGCCTCCTGCACAAACATTTAGTTTATGGAAAAACTAATGAAGGTATCAAACGATCATAATTATACAGGAATCGGAATTCCATTATACAAAAAGACGACGAATAAAGACCAACCGCATTTAGACGCTTAAGAGTGAGTTTTGAATCCAACGACGGATGCCTGTACTTCTTTGAGAAGCGTTCCTTGATAATTGACCTCCTTCCCGCGAAAGTTGACTCAAAAACTCTCTTGAGACAGAAAGTTACAATCAGAGAAGCAAAAAAAAAAAAAAAGAAAAAACTTGTAGTATCATGAGCAAGTACAAAATTAAGTAGCAACTATGACTTGCTTTTTGAATCCCATTTCACACAATTTCCTAAACAAGTCCATCATAATTTCATCAATTAACTTCACTCACAGCTTCAGCTCCTTGCTTCAGCACGA